TGCCATGCCACACCACGTTATGCCATGCGATGTCAGGCCGGGCCATGTCGTGCCAAGCCACGCCATGCCACGCAATGGCAGTCAAGTTATCCATCCCATCCCATGTCCCATGCCATCCCCCATGCCATGACATGCATCAGCCCATCAACGACCCAAGCATATCAGCACCAGCATGCAGACATGCCATGAAAGAAAGCAACACCCAGACATTAGAATGCGGAAGTTCATTATGGTGGGGTTGGGCAGAGTCCGATGGGCAGGGAAGGGTGGGAACAGTGAAATGGAATTTGATTGGAATGCGCCTAAAGGAACAAGCCTCGCCTTGACCAGGCGAGACCGCGCCTGGATCAACAGGTGGCGCCTGGACCAACGGGTCCCACTCACCTTGAGGAAGGGGGGTTCGCCGGGGGCGGGGGAGGAGTAATACGTCCCAGCCATGGGGGAAACCATGGGCGGAAGCGCGGCGGGCGCAGGCGGAGCGGGGGCGGCGGGAGCAGCAGCGGGCTTGGCAGCGGGGGCGGCGGCGGGAGCGGGGGCGGGGGCGGGGGCGTCCGCGTATTGGAACGGCGCCATCATGTGGGGAGGAGGGTAGGCGGGGTAGGCAGGCGCGGGGGGCGCGGCGGGGGCGGCGGGCGCAGGGAGCGCTTCCTTCTTGCGGATGAGGATCTCAAATCCCCCCTGCTTAAGCTCCAGCTCCACGATGTCGCGCGAATCCACCAGCCTGCGCGGAACGGGGAAGGGGGAGGGGAATGGGGAGGGGAAGCGGAAAGGGGAAGTGGAAGGGGAAAGCGGGAGGGGGGAGAGGTTTAGGTTGGGAAAGCGAGGGGAGAGCGACGGCATGAGGGCTTCCAATCAAGTGGAACGTCGCTCGCCAGTGTTATTGAGTTCCGCTCTATTGTGCCCCGCGTGCTTTTTCAGGCGCCGCGAACGACGTCTGCGGCGCGCAAGTGTGCTTGAGCTCCGCTAAAATGCGCCCCCAGAAACCATTGACTTGCGCAGAGGCGGGGAAAATGAGCGGTGGGGGTTGGCGAACAACGGGAAACTGCCTATGGGGTTTCGAGGGTAGTCCGCCTGAATGCGCGCCGCAGGGTTGCGCAAATTCACGAGTGTGCGCAGAACGGAGAAAGGGAGGGGGGAAGCGGGTGTGGGTGGGGAAATTGGGAGACAGCGACGGAATGAGAAGGGACGAAGAAACATATGGAACGGAAAATGACGGCCTAGAATAGGAAAAGAGCAGCGACGACAGAGGACGATTGTGTAGGCCAGGCGCTAATGACGCGTCGGCAAGTGGATATTAATGCTAACAGGGTGATTAAACGCACTTGATGAGGCTCGACACATCGGCAATGAACGCTGACGTGTCAGTGATCTCCGCCGCTGGCGCCTCCGACGCCGCCGCAGCCGCTGCCGTTGTCTGGAGCGAGGGAGGGGTTGAGCAAGACCGAGATAGGTACGTTGGAAGACGGATGAAGGAAAAAACGGAAAGACGCGGAGAGACGGAAGGAGGCGGGTTGAGGGGTACAGAAGCAAGAGGTGAGGCGCGTGCGTGTGAGTGAGAGCGGATGGTGTTGCTGCATGGATAACGTAATTGATGGATGGAGGAAGCAGCGACGCGGATGACAGAGCGCAGCAAAAGGTGCCGCACAAGGGTGCGTTCGAGCGTGTGTTCGAGCGTGAGTGTGCGACAGGGGCGGGTGCACGCGTGATGACGGGGCAAGGGAATGGCGGAACGGGCGAGCACGAGAAGCGAAGAGAATGGAGGATTGCGATGCGAGCGAGAGGTGGGGGGGTGATGGCGGAAAGGGTGGAGACTGAAGGAGGCGCGGGGAGGAAAATGATGGGGCAGGGGGGATGGGGGAAAAGGGAGAGGAGGGGAGGGTATAGGCAAAGGATTGTGGCGAGTGGGATGCAGCCGGAAGAACAAGGAGCAGAAGACAAAAGCGGACGGAGTTTTGAGCCGCCTCAAAACTCGTGACGAGTGGGATGCAGTCGGGAGGATAGGGAGCAAATGGCAAAGCGGACGTAACGAGGCAACGCAGACAGTGGGCGGCAGCACGGCGAGGCGAGAACAGGTGGCTCACTTACGTTGTCAGCGGCGGCGCATCGAGTGACCCGTCGCGACGTAGCGCTGGCCTGCAGGAATCGCGGGGAGGAAAAGATGGCGAGACGATTGCGATGTGATGGCGGCGGGATTGCGAGGTGACTGAGTGACGATGTAAAGAGGTGACTGAGTGACTGAGTAATCAGGTGAACTTAGCAAGAAGGAAGAGAAACAAGTCGACACCACGTGACGAAGCCGATATGTCGAGTGGCCACGTGGCGACCAGGTGGAACAGAAGAATTTGTATCATCTCTAAACGCTGGGCGGAACAATACACGATTGCATTGCGAGCTTACTATTGACGGTCAATCGCAACGTCCCGTTGAACACGTGAGCGAGCTGGGGAAAAGGCATGCGCAGGAGGCATGTCAAACATGCGATCAAGCAGCACCCGTATTGTGCCGACGCTACCGCTTTCTTACGATCATGCAGGCGCTTCAATTTTGCAATCCCCATCTGCACCTCTTCCCCATTCTCTCTAATTCAGGAGGTTATTACTAGCTTGCGTGAATGTCCAATTTCTCTCCATCATACTTGGCGCTGATTTGGCGTTCAAATAGGAGCTATCCCCTTACGTCACGGCGCAGCGAGGCGCAGTGAGGCACGGACCTGGAGAGAGGCCTTGGCGGCAGGCACGACCCGAAGCGACTTCATGGAAGCGCAGCTGGCGGAGGACAGAAGCTCCGCCGCGCGGTCGGCCTTGGCGGCTGCCTGCCAGGCGACCGCACCGAGCGTGCACGTGGTAGACGCTGCCATGGCGATAGTTACTCGCGAGTGAAACGGCAGAGAGGGGGTGTGCGGATCTGGCGGAACAAAAAACTGCTGCGGACCAGATCACAATTGCCAGCAGGAAGAATGAAAGAACTGGCTTAGTCGGGAATCGGGTTCAAGGGGAATAGAGTCCTGCGTGTGTGAGAAGTGTAGGCTGAATGGAGGAATCGAGGGATGAAATTGAATCGGGGTAATTACATTCTGGGTAACCAACATCGAGCCCGCTGACGTCAAAAGTCACCTACGTGGCTCGATGGTACCCGTCAGATCATGCGCACCCCTTGGTGGTACCCATCTTCCCTCCGTGGTACCCATCTTCCCTGCGTGGTACCCATCATCTGTGCGTGAATTCCCTGACTGGTACCGCAACATTTCAACCGAGCTGTACACCGTACAACAAGGGTTTCAATGCGATTTTCACTATATTATACCAACGTTTTCTGTCTGCAATTGAACATTAATACATTTGAACATTAATACCTTTGAACGTGCCTTACACTGGATAGAGTGCAACCTAGAAAAAATCAACTCCCCTTCTAAAATCCTCACGTTACCTCCGAACCTTTGTAAGCTCACATCACTGAGCGATAGGTAGCGTGAATCTTACGACCATGTTTCTCAGCGCGCAGTTGGTAATCTGAACAAAGTTCATAAGGTTGTATGCAAATAAATTGAGCATGTACCCCCACAGCTAAATAGAAAAGCATAAACAAATAATACGTACATTCGTTGGTTTCTGGAAACAAAACAATACCCATTAATGAAAATCAAATAACCTTAAGTCAATATATATATTACGTGTCAGTTGATCGTTTGTTACACGTATGTTAATTTTTGTGTTTCGTTTGATGCAATATATCTGTGGTGATTTAAATTATAGCACGTTATAATGTGGATGTTTATGAGCCTAAAGAAATCTACACAATAAATGTTTTCCTAAATTCAGCTTTTCCTAATGCGCTTGAAAATTTGACCCGATTATGTGGCACTTCGGGCTTCGGACTCTATTGAGCTTGTAAACGTTAAGACAATATAGTGAAAAACGCATTGACACCCTTGTTGTACGGTGTACAGCTCGGTTGAAATGTTGCGGTACCAGTCAGGGAATTCGCGCACAGTTGATGGGTATGGGTACCACGGAGGGAAGATGGGTACCACCAAGGGGCGCGCATGATCTGACGGGTACCATCGAGCCACGTAGGTGACATTTGACGTCAGCGGGCTTAATGTTGGTTACCCAGAATGTAATTACCCATTGAATCGAGGCCAGAGGGTAGGCGGATGAACCGACGGATTGTGGCGGAAGCAGTTGCGGCGGAAGGGGTGTTGGCGCAAAGTGATTGCCACGCAGAGCGTGGGTGAATGTGATGGGATCGGAGGTAAGGGGGGGAGAGGGATTGAGTGGCGCAGGCGGGTTTGGCGGGGCGGGAAGGTTGTGAATGGGTGGTGGATGGCGCAAAGGTCTTATCGCCACGTCATTTATATCCATGCGACAGCGACTGCCACTTCCAAGAGCGACTCTTCACGAAACATCTCTAGAAACAACTCCCGTTTGACATGTTTGACGAGGTTCGCGAATTATGGAAAGGGTTACTTGTTGTTTCAGCCAATGGTTCGGCATCGGCGAGATGCCAGACACACATTTTTTTTTTTTTTCTGAAGGTCAAAAGCCTTCTGATGTTTATGTGTGACCGTGTATCTCGTTAGTAATGTTGACTTGACAATGACGTGGGTCTGAAATACGGTACAAGGTTTTCCGGCCTGTTTACCCTCTCTTTGTAACTAAACGAATAACCAGGAATAAAGTATGTAAAACCAGATGGAATAAAGTATTTGAGAGTGATTTGAGGATGATATTACGTCTTATACCTTACTATATCATGGACATACATGCATGAGATACAAGCACCAGATTGATACAACGATCTATCCTTTTCAACTTCCAGTGCATTATCACCTGTATCTCCACCTACAGCAGTGGTATATTGTACAGCAAGGGCACCATTGCACCTCGCTTCACTCCCCAGCCTCCCTTGTCCCACTGCTGCAACGGCCGTGTAAGCACAACCAAATCGCTATTGAAATAAAACTCCCCCATTGCCATGTAAATGCGACGCCTTACTTCCTGTCAAGCGACTCGTTCGATGACCCTCAGCTTGGCACTCCTGCTGCGTGCATTCACCCTCCACTCATCCTCCTCTGCCACCACCGGCCGCTTCGTCACCACCCGGTATCTCGCATGCCCATGCCCTTCCCAGCCACTGCTGCTCCCTACTTGTGGTGCAGACACAGGCACAGGTACAGGCACTGGCAGGGGCACTGGCACTGGCATGGGCACAGCCATGCCAGCAGCAGCTTCCAGGAAGCTTCGCTTCACGATGCGGTCCTCGAGCGAGTGGAAGGAGATGACGGCCAGCCGGCCGCCCGGCGCCAGCAGGGAGAGGGCGGCGGGGATGGCGAGCGCCAGGGCGGCAAGCTCGTCATTTACTGCGATGCGGAGAGCCTGGAAGGTGCGGGTGGCCGGGTGGATTCGCATGCCGGGGCCACCACGGCGGGATGAAGAGGCTGAGATGGGACACACAGGGCAGGACAGGATGTGCAGAGGCAGGGGAGGGATGGGAGATGAGATGGTGTGCAGTGGATGTGCTGGAAGGTGCGGGTGGATGGGTGGACGCACGCCCGGGGCCACCGGAACGGGAGGATGAGGGTGGGAGCGGCAGGAGTGGCTGTGCAGAGGCAGGAGAGGATGCAGAGTGAGGGGCAAGAATGGATGTCCATGTGGAGCTCTGCCATCACCGCCATTCCTCCCCTCGCCTCCTCAACAACGCCCTTCAACGCATCCATCCAAGCACCAACCCAACCTACCTGAGCCCTTCAGGCCCATACGCCCCTCCTGCCACAACAGCAGCGAGCTGCGTGGTGCTGCTGATGCGCCCTCGCCCCCGCGCCTCCACGATCCGCCGGGCAAGCTGCCGCCACCGCCTCTCCTCCCCTAGGTCTCTCAAGATCTTCCCTAGCACCTCCTCCGGCCAATCGTTGACCGCCACCTCAGCGGTGATGGGGCTCTGGTGGGGGGGTGCAAGGGTGGTGCATGCATGGGTGGTGCATGCATGGGTGGTGCATGCTTGGGTGGTGCATGTGGAAGGGGGTGTGGGGAAGAAGAGCTGAGATGAAAAGACAGGGAAGTGGGAGTCAGGAGCACTCACAAGCACCTGGATGTATTCACATGAACATTCACATGCACATGCAGACAGCCATGCACAAACAGTTACATCCATGCCTTGGCTCACCTTAGGGTCCATGCGCATGTCCAGAGGCCCATCCCTCATGAAGCTGAAGCCCCTCTCTGCCCTGTCGATCTGTGGGAAAAGGAAGGGAGGGACAGAGAGGAGGGAGAAAAAGACAGATGGGAGTGGGAAGGGTGGAAAACCCAGTTCATAGACAGAAGCCCCTCTCTGCCCTGTCGATCTGTGGACAGGGGAGAGAGAAGGCCGCGCACAGAGAAGACCATTTCCAAGGAAAGAGAGGCGGGAGGAGAAGACTGAAGTGGGGAGAGCGGAGAATTAACTTCAAAGACACAATCCCTGGCCTGTATGAGATACTACCAGCAACCTGCGTAGGAGCAGCCATCACCTATACCACCTGCGTAGGAGCAGCCATCACCTATACCACCTGCGCCAGAGCAGCCTGCCCACCTGCATGGAGGAGACCCCCACGTCCAGCAGAATGCCGTCCACACTGCCACGAGCCACTCCCACACCCGCACATGCCTCCACCATGCGCCGGAAATTCCCCTCCACCACGTGTAGTGTCGCTGTGGCCCCCCTCTCCTCCGACACTCGCAATGTCGCTTCCGGCTCCTCTGCCACTCGCACTGTTGCTTGGGCCTGCTCCTCAGACTGGCCCCGCTCCTCTGCCTCGCCCCACTCCTCAACTGGCGCCGCTGCTTGGGTATGGGCATGGGCATCGTGAGGACTGCCTGCCCGTGCGCCTGGAGGGGCAGCGATGCGCATGAAGGGGTGCAGGCGCGCAGCAGCAATGGCGTGTGCTGAGGGGTCCACGTCCATGCCCACCACTGCTTGCAACTCTGGGTGGTGGCGAGCTAGCTGCAGGGGAGAAACGAAAGGGGAGAGAGAAGAGGCAAATGAGTGAAGGGAGGCAAAATCAGCAGCGATGGCGTGTGCCGATGGGTGGTGTGCCGATGGGTGGTGTGCCGATGGGTGCAGCACGTCCAAGCCCACTGCTGCCTGTGGCACTGGGTGGTGCCGGGCCAGCTGCAAGGGAGAAAGGAGGGAAAAAAGTGGCAAGAGAGTGAACAGGAGGAAGCAAGAGAAACAAGTGATGTGCTGAAGGGTCCACGACCATGCCCACGACTGCCTGTAGCTCTGGATGGTGCCGGGCCAGCTGCAGGGGAGAAATGAAAAGCGTGAGAGCATGGGAGAAAGCAGAGACAAATGAGTGAAGGGTGGACGCAAAATGAGCAGTGTTGGCGTGTGCTGAACTGAGGCTTCCACGTCCATGCCCAGCACTGCTTGCAGCTCCAGCTTCCACAAGTGAGTGACCTCCAGCTTCCACAAGTGAGTGACCTCCAGCTTCCACAAGTGAGTGACCTCCAGCTTCCACAAGTGAGTGACCTCCAGCTTCCACAAGTGAGTGACCTCCAGCTTCCACAAGTGAGTGACCTCCAGCTTCCACAAGTGAGTGACCTCCAGCTTCCACAAGTGAGTGACCTCCAGCTTCCACAAGTGAGTGACCTCCAGCTTCCACAAGTGAGTGACCTCCAGCTTCGACAAGTGAGTGACCTCCAGCTTCCACAAGTGAGTGACCTCCAGCTTCCACAAGTGAGTGACCTCCAGCTTCCACAAGTGAGTGACCTCCAGCTTCCACAAGTGAGTGACCTCCAGCTTCCACAAGTGAGTGACCTCCAGCTTCCACAAGTGAGTGACCTCCAGCTTCCACAAGTGAGTGACCTCCAGCTTCCACAAGTGAGTGACCTCCAGCTTCCACAAGTGAGTGACCTCCAGCTTCCACAAGTGAGTGACCTCCAGCTTCCACAAGTGAGTGACCTCCAGCTTCCACAAGTGAGTGACCTCCAGCTTCCACAAGTGAGTGACCTCCAGCTTCCACAAGTGAGTGACCTCCAGCTTCCACAAGTGAGTGACCTCCAGCTTCCACAAGTGAGTGACCTCCAGCTTCCACAAGTGAGTGACCTCCAGCTTCCACAAGTGAGTGACCTCCAGCTTCCACAAGTGAGTGACCTCCAGCTTCCACAAGTGAGTGACCTCCAGCTTCCACAAGTGAGTGACCTCCAGCTTCCACAAGTGAGTGACCTCCAGCTTCCACAAGTGAGTGACCTCCAGCTTCCACAAGTGAGTGACCTCCAGCTTCCACAAGTGAGTGACCTCCAGCTTCCACAAGTGAGTGACCTCCAGCTTCCACAAGTGAGTGACCTCCAGCTTCCACAAGTGAGTGACCTCCAGCTTCCACAAGTGAGTGACCTCCAGCTTCCACAAGTGAGTGACCTCCAGCTTCCAGTGTGCCATCCACCAGTGATGTCAACTAAACCTTCTTTTGAGACGTCTCAAAAGTCACACGCTACAACCACACCCGTCCTAGTTATACCCATTCCAGTCACACCCGTCACACCCGTCACACCCGTACCCAGCACTCACAACGAATCTGTGACCGCCAGCTCCCAGTGTGCCATCCGCCAGAGTCATCAACCTCATCCCCTTTGTGAGACGTCTCATATATCAACCGATACAGTCACACCTGTTGGAGTCACAACCGTCACCGCCACATTCAGCACTCACAGCGAGAGTGTGACCGCCAGCCCCCAGTGTGCCGTCCACCAGAGTTGTCAACCGCACCCCCTCAAACGCCCCCACCACCTCCCGAACCAGCACCGGCACATGTGGCCACTCCCCCCCTTTTCTCCCCTCCACGCCCAATCTCGCCTACCCTTCTCCCCCCACGTCTGCCGCTTCCGCCTCTGCCCCTCCGCCCACCCACCTCTCCGCCTCCGCATAGGTCACCCCCCTCCTCAGGCTCTCCCCGCTGCTTGCCTCCGCCCCCTCCCGCGTCCGCTGCTTCTCCTCCTCCCTCCGCCTCCTCCTCTTCTTCCGCCCCCCGTTCGCCTCCCCTCCCCCGCTCTCTTCCCCCTCGCTGCTACTACCGCCGCCTTTATCCAACTCGTCTTCCTCACCTGCGTGCATAGCAGCCATTTCCCTTCCTTCATCCCCCTCTTCCCCGTCCTCCTCTTCTTCCCCCTCTTCCTCCCCCCCCTTCCCCGTCCCGCTGTATCTCCTGCCGCGCGCAACGATAACCCCGGCCTCTTCCCCGCCTTCCGCCCGCGCAACCAGGGGGAGCGCAGCACGCGACTGCAGCCCGGCCAGCTGCGCGCCAATGCGCCCCGCGCCTCCCTTTGGCGCACCGGTGCGGCTCAACCCCTCCCTTAGGGGGTGCGCGCAGGGATACGCGCCAGACGCGCTGGTCCATATACCCGCGGAGGGAGAGGCGGAAAGGCAGGAGGAGGATCGTGGGGAGGCGCAAGCGGATTGACGGAGAAAAACGCAGGTTTTGGCGCAGAAGGAGGGGCGGGAGGATAGCGACGTGAAAAAACGAGAGGGGATGAGCGTGTTTCCGTCGCTGTTTCTGCTGACTTGGCTGACCCTGTTGGCCCCGTTGACTCCGTTGACTGTCGCTGCGATGGTTTGTCGGACGGGAGGAGGAAGCCACGGCCCGAGGCGAACCCGGTGCGACGCAAGCGAGTGTGACAATGGCGAGGGGAGCGGAATGCGATCCATGGCGCAGGCCCGGCAGGCGAAAACGCGCATCTAGATTGCGACCCAGTTCGTTGCGACTCGGCCCGTTCTAAGTCGGTGGCGCAAAACAATCACCAAGCTCAGGTCCGTTTGCGAACCTGCTTAGCGAACACCATGCGCCATAGCCAGTCGTGGACTGGTCCGGAGGAAGTGAAGGGCGCTACGCAACGCGGTTGTAACGGACATAAGAACTAACAGGATCTCATCCCATGCGCAATGCGGTTGTATCTTACTGTATTTCTAGAGGCCTGTGCTTGTCAGACTAGTTCCGGTTCCACTGACTATCTGCGCCTCCGGACTAGTTCCACTGACAATTAGCCCTAATCTGTTTTTGGAGAATTCTAAAACAACAGATTTAGCGCCTCCGGACTAGAGTCCAGTGACAATTAGCCTTTGATGATCAGTTTTGGCAACGATCACGCTTGCTGCCTGTGGAGTGGCCGCAGATTGCTAGCATTGTCAAGTCAACCCCCGAAACCCTGGCGATGAATAATTCTTCAATTTGAACAGCAGTTTTATGGACAATACAGTGCAAGCTTCAGCGAATTGTCACCTACTATCGTTTCTTCACAGCTTTTGTGATCAAGTTTATAGAGGGGAATTTTTACCCTGCATGTGTAGAGCAGCCACCTGCCGAGAGAATTGCTCCAGGGCCTTGTTTGGTGATTCGCTCTTGCCCACTTGTCCCCGAATTGCTCGCGTGGCCATCCAATTCAGTGATAATTGCTCGAGTGGCCATGCCACGGCATTTTCGAGGTGTTTTTTTCCCTGGCACATTACCCTACAAGGGTTCGTACCCCCGAAATTCCTCGTTCGCACAACAGTAGATGCACGGTCATTTTCGGCCCAATGCGCGACCAATGAGCGCGTGGGCAAATACATCAGCGATCATAAACTGCAACACCGGAGCATAAATGCATGAACATATTAGTGACCGCGCACGATTGGTTGATAATAAGCTTGTTGCGCTTTTTGGCAATGTGCGTCCAATCACGCACTGTCATATAATTCATGACCATATATTTAGGCGATAAAGGGTCGCCCAACAACCAATATGAGCGCGCATATACTACCATTAGTTCTATCATATGTATGGTCCATATAAAACCATGTATATCAAATGCCATAAATATATTCTCTGCTATTAATTTAAGCCTAGCATAACTATGGTCCATAATATTGTATTGCTACTAATATGGTTGTCAGAACATTATAGCTCATGCATATTGTGTAGGCTATAGTGGGGTAGCCCATAAGGGGTACAACCCAATTAGGGTCATTACTTGTACCCAATTCATTCATAGTTCATTCATTCCTTGTTTCTTCTCATGGTATCGAGCAGGTTCCCCCGTGGGAACTGTTCTTAGGGCCCACCGTTTTTTTTTTCCTGCCCGGAGCGCACTCAGCCCCTGCCCGAGTCGCGCTCCCCTCTCTCGCGCCGCCCTAGCGGCCCCCCTTCGCGCCGCCCTCGCGGCCTCTTCGAGCCGCCCTCGCGGCTCTATCCGCCGCCCTTCGCGGCCCCTACTCCGCCGCCCTCGCGGCCCCGATCCGCCGCCCTTGCGGCCCCTGATCCGCCGCCCTCGCGGCCCCGCTCCGCCGCCCTCGCGGCCCCGATCCGCCGCCCTTCGCGGCCCCGATCCGCCGCCCTCGCGGCCCCTACTCCGCCGCCCTCGCGGCCTCGATCCGCCGCCCTCGCGGCCCCTACTCCGCCGCCCTCGCGGCCCCTACTCTGCCGCCCTCGCGGCCCCGATCCGCCGCCCTCGCGGCCCCGATCCGCCGCCCTAGCGGCCCCGGCCCCTGCTCCTACGGCCCCGGCGCCTGCTCCTACGGCCCCCGCGCCTACTCCTACGAGCAGCCCACCCGCCGAGCCGCCCAGCAACCGAGCAGCCCAGCCGCTGAGCCGCCGAGCCGCCCAGCAACCAAGCCGCCCAGCCGCCGAGCAGCCCAGCAGCCGAGCCGCCCAGCAGCCGAGCCACCCAGCCGCCGATACGCCCAGCAGCCGAGCCGCCCAGCAGCCGAGCCGCCCAGCCGCCGAGCCGCCCAGCAGCCGAGCCGCCCAGCAGCCGAGCCGCCGAGCCGCCCAGCAGCCGAGCCGCCCAGCCGTCGAGTCGCCGAGCCGCCCTGCAGCCGAGCCGCCCGAGCCGCCCTGTCCGGTAAGAGCAGCGCCTCTCTCACAGCACTGCCCTCACCCTACTGTTTGCACTGCTAGTCTACTGCTTTCATGGCTACCCCTAGTGTCCTCGCTTTTGACGCTGAGGGTCGGGCCATTGACTTTGACGTCTGGATAGATGACCTGCAGCTTTTCTTACAGTGCGACAGAGCAGACGGCCTCTCCCTCTTTGACCTCACTTCTGGTGCCTCTCCTGCCCCCGCTGCTGATGCTGACGCCACTGTTCGCTCACAGTGGGCCACGCGCGATGCTGCTGCACGTCTTGCTGTGCGTCGCCACCTACCTACCTCTGAGCGTGCGCACTTTAGCCAGTACAAGAGTGCTCAGACCTTGTACGACGCTGTAGTTGCACGCTACTCCTCCCCTGCCACTGCTGCACTGAGCCGCCTCATGCTACCGTACCTCTTCCCTGACCTTGCTGCCTTTCCCACAGTCGCTGACCTCATTACGCACCTCCGCACTAGTGACACTCGCTACCGCGCTGCGCTTCCTGCTGAGTTCTGCGCCAAGAACCCCCACCCCATGTACCCAGGACGTCACGTTCGACGAGTCGGTCCCCTACTACCGCCTCTTCCCCTACCGCACTCCGTCCCTCCCCCCGCCACCGCTCTTCCTTGTACCAGGTCCCCCCCCGGTAGACCCCCTCCCCCCTCAGGGTCCTGCCCCTTCAGGTGTGTCCCAGGTAGACGCTGTTGAGCCTGTCGAGGTCGCTGGTGACTCTGGTGCTGCTGAGGGTGCTGAGCCTGGGAGTGCTGACTCTGGGGGTGCTGAGCCTGGGGGTGCTGCGTCTAGGGGTGCTACGCCTGGGGGTGCTGCGTCTGGGGGTGCTGAGCCTGGGGGTGCTACGCCTGGAGGTGCTGAGCCTGGGGGTACTGAGCCTGGAGGTGGTGAGCCTGGGGGTGCGGAGCCTGAGGGAGCTGGGCCTGCTGGTGCTGTGCCTGGCGGTTCTCCGGGTGCTTCTTCTCGCCGGGAGCCACTCTCTCCACAGGAGCTGCGTGAGTGGTTTGCCCGGCGCTGGAGGCGAGCTGCTGGAGCTGGAGGAGCTGCGGGTACTGGAGTTTCTGTTGCTGCTGAGGGAGCTGGTGCCACGGGTCCTGGAGGTGCTCGTACTGGGCGTCCTGGAGCTGCTGGACCTGCGGGTACTTCTGGAGCTGGAGCTGCTGCGGGTGTTGGCGCGGAGACTACTGCTGTCGGTCCTGGCGGCGGTCCTGCTGGGGGTACTGCTGGTGCTGCTGGGGGTACTGGAGCTGGAGCTGCTACTGGTGCTGGTGCGGCCACAAGGGGTGCTGGTGCTGTCCCTACTGTGTCTGGCGTCGCCGCGCGGCCTCGGCCGTACTTCGTTCCGCTCCTTCAGCAGGTTCTTGGTCTCCCGTCTTCTACTGGTCCTCCTCCTCCCTTAGAGTGTCCACAGCCTGTCCCGTCGCAGTTACAGTTACAGCCGGCCTCCCCACTGCCTGCTCCGTCTCCCTACACTGGTCCTACTGGAGGTCTTGCTGAGCGTCGTGAGCCTGCGTCTCGCCCTGCGTCGCCTGTCCGTGCTGCTCGCACTAGTGGTCGTGGTTCGCGTCAGCGTCCTCCTCCTGTCCCTGGCACGCACCGGATGTCTCTGCGTCCGTCCACTGCTCCTCTGCGTGCCCCTTTGCCTTCTCCTCCTGAGTCTTCTCTTCCTGCTCTTGCCGACCCGGAGTCGGACTCTCTTCGTGCTGCCAGTCCTACTGTCACGCGTCTCCTTGCTACTGTTGTCACTGACCCTTCCTTAGAGTCCACTGCTGCGTCTGCCCTAGTTGCTGAGCTCGTCGACTTTGCTGCTCGCTGTCGCCTCGACTATGTCGCCAGTCTTGTTGCTGAGTCTGAGTCTGTCTGTCCTCCGTCCGTCGGGGGTGAGTGTGCCCTTGGCACGGACGTCCTTGAGGACAGGCAGGAGGAGTTCCAGTGCTTGGCCGCTGCTTCACCTCATCTCGTGTCCGTACTGCTTACCCCTGAGGGAGACCCGGATGCACTTGACATCCCGACTCCGCGCTCTTACGCGGAGGCGATAGAGGGTCCCTACTCCTCTCAGTGGCAGGCAGCTATGGACGCAGAGATGGCTTCCTGGAAGTCCACAGGCACCTACGTTGACGCTGTTCCCCCTCCTGGGGCGAACATCGTCAGTGGCATGTGGATTTTCAGGGTGAAGCGGCCGTCGGGTTCTCCGCCTGTCTTCAAGGCGCGTTACGTGGCTCGAGGCTTCAGTCAGCGGCAGGGAGTTGACTACTTTCAGACCTTCTCTCCCACCCCGAAGATGACCACTCTTCGGGTACTGCTGCACGTAGCTGCTCACCGTGACTACGAGCTACACTCTCTTGACTTCAGCACTGCTTTCTTGCAGGGCAGCCTGCACGAGGAGATCTGGCTGCGTCGCCCACCTGGTTTCACTGGGTCTTTTCCTCCTGGCACCCAGTGGAGCCTACGGCGGCCAGTCTACGGTTTCCGCCAGGCACCGCGTGAGTGGCACGACACACTGAGGACTACACTTGCGGCTCTTGGGTTTGCTCCCTCTACTGCCGACCCGTCGCTGTTTCTGCGCACCGACACTTCTTTGCCGCCGTTCTACATCCTCGTGTACGTCGACGACTTGGTCTTTGCCACAGCTGACACTGCTGGACTCGCCCACGTGAAGTCCGAGCTGCAGAAGAGACACACGTGCACTGACCTGGGTGAACTGCGCAGCTACCTTGGCTTGCAGATCACTCGGGACAGAGCACGCCGCACCAGTACCCTGACTCAGTCACACATGGTGCAGCAGGTCCTTCAGCGCTTCGGCTTCACGTACTCCTTGCCTCAGGCCACTCCTCTGCCTACTCGCCACTCGCTCTCAGCTCTGCCTTCGGATGAGTCCGTAGAGTCGAGTGGCCCGTACCCAGAGCTTGTTGGCTGCCTCATGTACCTGATGACCTGCACACGACCTGACCTTGCATACCCTCTTAGCATTCTCGCACGCTATGTTGCTCCTGGGAGACACAGACCGGAGCACATGGCTGCAGCGAAGAGGGTGTTGCGCTACTTGTGCAGTACGTCGGGCATGGGGCTTGTGCTTGGAGGGCAGAGTCCAGTGGTCCTTACTGGGCACGCAGACGCTTCTTGGGCTGACGACCAGGCTACGCAGCGGTCGTCACAGGGTTACACCTTCAGCCTTGGTTCCGGCTCTGTTTCGTGGCGGGCTACTCGCTCGTCTTCTGTTCTCGGCTCCAGTTGTGAGGCTGAGATCTACGCAGGAGCCATGGCTGCACAGGAGCTTCGCTGGCTCACCTACCTGCTGACTGACCTCGGAGAGCCGCCTCGTTCTCCTCCAGTGCTGTACGTAGACAACAAGGCCATGCTGGCCTTGTGTCGGGAGCAGCGACTGGAGCACAGAACAAAGCACATTGCTCTCCGCTACTTTCTTGCTCGTGAGCTGCAGCAGCGTGGTCAGCTGCGTCTTGCATACGTGGCCTCTGAGGCCAACACTGCTGATATCTTCACCAAGGCGCTTGCGCCTTGTGACCATCAGCGCTTCTGTACTCAGCTGGGCCTTGTGCCTACCTTGCCTCACTTGCTCACCTCTTGACCGTGCTTGTACTGTTACATATATATATACCTGCTCTTGCTTGTCTAGCCTTTTTATATATATGTACTCCTGCATGTGAACTGGCCTTGTGGCCTTGAACTTGTGCTCGGAATGTGTGGTGACTTTGTGATCCACCCTGAGCTTGCTTTGCTTTGCTTTACTTGACTGGTCTTGTGACCCCTTGTTCTCCCCCACTTTGCCTATGGGGGTGTGTCAGAACATTATAGCTCATGCATATTGTGTAGGCTATAGTGGGGTAGCCCATAAGGGGTACAACCCAATTAGGGTCATTACTTGTACCCAATTCATTCATAGTTCATTCATTCCTTGTTTCTTCTCAATGGTTGCAGCATATTATGTTGGGATTAAATTAATATTATGTTGCCCAATATATTATTTCTGCAACCATATTACCGGAAATACGATATTATGGACCACGGTTATGTTGGGCTTAAATTAATAGCAGAGAATGTATTTATGGCATTTGATATACATGGTTTTATATGGACCGGACATATGATAGAACTAATGGTAGTATATGCGCGCCCATATTGGTTGTTGGGCGACCCTTTATCGCCTAAATATATGGTCGTGAATTATATGACAGTGCGTGATTGGACGCGCATTGCCAAAAAGGGCAACAAGCATATTATCGACCAATCGTGCGCGGTCACTAATATGTTCATGCATTTATGCTCCGGCGTTGCAGTTTATGATCGCTGATGTATTTGCCCACGCGCTCATTGGTCGTGCATTGGGCCGAAAATGACCGCGCATCTACTGTTGTGCGAACGAGGAATTTCGGGGGTACGAACCCTTGTAGGGTAATGTGCCAGGGAAAAAAAACACCTCGAAAATGCCGTGGCATGGCCACTCGAGCAATTATCACTGAATTGGATGGCCACGAGAGCAATTCGGGGACACGTGGGCAAGAGCGAGTCACCAAACAAGGCCCTGGAGCAATTCTCTCCCACCTGCCACACATCGGTCCGCTAGCACACATTTTCGCATTCTTTCTACGAGCCGCTCTCTCCACCCCCAAAAATACTCTGTCTGCGGATCAACGCGCGCCCATACGGCGCAGATAGCGCGGACTCCCTTCCGCCACTCCTAGGACCGGTCACCTTTCTCTATGTGATTCGCCCTTGTCGCCCTCTTCCCCATCGTTCTCGTCGCTCTCGTCGCCGTTGTCGCGTGTCGTCACACTTCGTCGCACGCAGCTGCCCGCGCACTCTCGCAGTATCAGCGTTCTTCGCGGAAGGCGGGGGGCATTGAGTAGCCATGACGTAACATTCGAGAACTTTTATCGCGCCTCAAGAGGCGCTTCGGAGGGGGAGAAGAAAAGAGATGGCGGAGGTGGCGGAGGATCCGCGCAGCGCAGCGGGAGGCGCGGCATCGGTGGGGATGCTGCGCGATGCGCGGACGCCGCCGAAATCGTGGTCGGATCTCGAGCCGCCGGCGGCGCGATGGGCGAATCCGTTCGTGGTGCGCGTTGGGCAGGTGTTCACGGGATTCGGCGTGGGATGTGGCGTGGGCATCGGTGTTGGCCGGCCCGTGAACCTAGGTAAGAGCGCTAGGATGGCTTAGTGGGGTAGGGCGGATAGGGTAGGGCGCATTGGGGTAGGGCGCATTGGGGTAGGGCGCATTGGGGTAGGGCGCATTGGGGTAGGGCGCATTGGGGTAGGTCTCTTTCTCTCTCCCCGCTAGGCTTCCTGCCAGCAGCAGTGGCAGTGGCATGAACCGTCTCGCTGCGATTTTCGCGTCGCCTCTGAACGCACCTCGCTCTCTGTCTCTCTGCACCCAGAAAGTGCAGTGTCTGTCGCTCCTATCTCTCCGCCCACACCACCAGGCGCGTTGCCAGCAGCAGCAACAGTGGCATCAAGGGCGGGTGAATTCAACCGTCTCATTGTGACTTTTGAGTAAACGACGAGCTTGTGCTCTCATATGCACCTTGCTCTCTGCCTCTGCTGCACTAAGGTGCCTGTTGCTCCTGTCTCTCCGTCACCCTCACACACCATCACCACCAGGCGCATTGCCAGCAGCAGAAACAGTGGCATCAATGGCAGGTAATATTAACCGACTCGTTGCGACTTTCGAGTCGCCTCAAGAGCCACCACTCTCGCTCTCTGCGCTGCATTTGTCTCTCCTATATGTGATCCCCCCCCCAACCTCCACCATCACTGCCACCACCAGGCGCATTGCCAGCAGCAGGGGCAGTGGCATCAATGGCAGGTGATTTTAACCGACTCGCTGCAGGTGCCGCTGCTCCCCTCCGCCCTCTGGTGAGCGCCCCTCCGCCCTCTGCTCAGCTACCCTACCCTCCGCTCTTGATCACCCTGCCATCACCTCTCTACCATCTCTCACCTCTCTCCCTTCCTTCCCCTCACTCTCATCCGCCCCTCACTCTCTTCCACCCCTCACTCTCTTCCACCCCTCACTCTTTTCCACCCCTCACTCTCTTCCACCCCTCACTCTCTTCCACCCCTCACTCTCTTCCGCCCGTCACTCTCTTCCGCCCCTCACTCTCATCCGCCCCTCACACTCATCCACCAGTCTATCCCTCGCCTGTCCCTTCCTTCCCTTCATGGCAGCTGAGGCGTCTGGAAGTGCCGCAGGGGGATGTGGGTGTGGGATGCGACTGGGCGAACCGCTCTCCCCTCTCTCCCCACTCGCCACTCTCCCCTTCTACCCCCTCCTGTAGCTGAGGCGCATGGGAGTGCCGCACGCACGTGGATGTGGGTTTGGGGTGCGGCTGGGCTAACCACTCTCCCCTCTCTCCTCGCTCCCTTCCCCCGCCTCCTGCAGCTAAGGCGTCTGGGAGTGCCTCACGTGGATGTGGGCGTGGGATGCGGAGTGGGTTTCGGCCATGGCTTTGGCGCTGGTGTTGCCCTCAAGCCACAAGTTCTGGCGTCCCTGCTGCAGTCTGCACAGGTACAGCAGGGCCGGTGAACCGTGAGCACTGTCCCTACAGCAGGGCCGGTGAACCATGAGCACCGTCCCTACAGCAGGGCCGGTGAACCGTGAGCACCGTCCCTACAGCAGGGCCGGTGAACCGTGAGCACCATCCCTACAGTAGGGCCGGTGCACCGTGAGCACCGTCCCTACAGCAGGGCCGGTGAACCGTGAGCACCGTCCCTACAGCAGGGCCGGTGAACCGTGAGCACCATCCCTACAGCAGGGCCGGTGCACCGTGAGCACCGTCTCTACAGCAGGGCCGGTGCTGTGGCATGGCATGGTGTGGCACGCTGTGGCATGGTCGTTCATGACAAGCATTGGTGCTGGTATTGCTCTCAAGCCACAAGTGCTCATGTCCCTGCTGCACTCCACGCGCGATGCTCTGGTTCCGTTGCACCAGAGCTGCAGTCCATCTGTGCTTCCCTGCTGCAGTCCATCTGTGCTTCCCTGCTGCAGTCCATCTGTGCTTCCCTGCTGCAGTCCATCTGTGCTTCCCTGCTGCAGTCCATCTGTGCTTCCCTGCTGCAGTCCATCTGTGCTTCCCTGCTGCAGTCCATCTGTGCTTCCCTGCTGCAGTCCATCTGTGCTTCCCTGCTGCAGTCCATCTGTGCTTCCCTGCTGCAGTCCATCTGTGCTTCCCTGCTGCAGTCCATCTGTGCTTCCCTGCTCCAGTCCATCTGTGCTTCCCTGCTGCAGTCCATCTGTGCTTCCCTGCTGCAGTCCATCTGTGCTTCCCTGCTGCAGTCCATCTGTGCTTCCCTGCTGCAGTCCATCTGTGCTTCCCTGCTGCAGTCCATCTGTGCTTCCCTGCTGCAGTCCATCTGTGCTTCCCTGCTGCATTCCATCTGTGCTTCCCTGCTGCAGTCCATCTGTGCTTCCCTGCTGCAGTCCATCTGTGCTTCCCTGCTGCAGTCCATCTGTGCTTCCCTGCTGCAGTCCATCTGTGCTTCCCTGCGGCAGTCCATCTGTGCTTCCCTGCTGCAGTCCATCTGTGCTTCCCTGCTGCAGTCCATCTGTGCTTCCCTGCTGCATTCCATCTGTGCTTCCCTGCTGCAGTCCATCTGTGCTTCCCTGCTGCAGTCCATCTGTGCTTCCCTGCTGCAGTCCATCTGTGCTTCCCTGCTGCAGTCCATCTGTGCTTCCCTGCTGCAGTCCATCTGTGCTTCCCTGCTGCAGTCCATCTGTGCTTCCCTGCTGCATTCCATCTGTGCTTCCCTGCTGCAGTCCATCTGTGCTTCCCTGCTGCAGTCCATCTGTGCTTCCCTGCTGCAGTCCATCTGTGCTTCCCTGCTGCAGTCCATCTGTGCTTCCCTGCTGCAGTCCATCTGTGCTTCCCTGCTGCAGTCCATCTGTGCTTCCCTGCTGCAGTCCATCTGTGCTTCCCTGCTGCAGTCCATCTGTGCTTCCCTGCTGCAGTCCATCTGTGCTTCCCTGCTGCAGTCCATCTGTGCTTCCCTGCTGCAGTCCATCTGTGCTTCCCTGCTGCAGTCCATCTGTGCTTCCCTGCTGCATTCCATCTGTGCTTCCCTGCTGCAGTCCATCTGTGCTTCCCTGCTGCAGTCCATCTGTGCTTCCCTGCTGCAGTCCATCTGTGCTTCCCTGCTGCAGTCCATCTGTGCTTCCCTGCTGCAGTCCATCTGTGCTTCCCTGCTGCAGTCCATCTGTGCTTCCCTGCTGCAGTCCATCTGTGCTTCCCTGCTGCAGTCCATCTGTGCTTCCCTGCTGCAGTCCATCTGTGCTTCCCTGCTGCAGTCCATCTGTGCTTCCCTGCTGCAGTCCATCTGTGCTTCCCTGCTGCAGTCCATCTGTGCTTCCCTGCTGCAGTCCATCTGTGCTTCCCTGCTGCAGTCCATCTGTGCTTCCCTGCTGCATTCCATCTGTGCTTCCCTGCTGCAGTCCATCTGTGCTTCCCTGCTGCATTCCATCTGTGCTTCCCTGCTGCAGTCCATCTGTGCTTCCCTGCTGCAGTCCATCTGTGCTTCCCTGCTGCAGTCCATCTGTGCTTCCCTGCTGCAGTCCATCTGTGCTTCCCTGCTGCAGTCCATCTGTGCTTCCCTGCTGCAGTCCATCTGTGCTTCCCTGCTGCAGTCCATCTGTGCTTCCCTGCTGCAGTCCGATTGGGTAAAAGGGGATGCACTCGTTCCGCTCATTCAAGGCTGTCATTGCATTTTTCTCAGGCCACAAGTCCTGGTATCCGTGCTTCAGTCTGCACCGGTACGGCAGGGCAGGTGCTGTCGCATGGCCAGTTGGAATGTATGCTGTGGCGTGGTGTGGCATGGTGTGGAACGGTATGGCATGGTGTGCAATGCTGTGGCATGGTGTATGCACGCGATCATGCATGAGGAATTCTATCGACTGAGCAAGAGTTTTTCTATAACATTACCGGGGCTCTTTGGTTAATCCACTGGAAGAAAAACCAAATACAATATCGGTCCTTTTCTATTGTCTCACCCGAGACAAGTAAAAGGAGGGAGATTCCTGTATCAGCATTTCTGCTTTGCATAATCTAACACCCAGCATTTCCTCTGTGCTCTTCCGCAGGCCATGGCATCTCGCCTCATCTCACACATCCCTCAAGAGCATCGCTCTCATGCCACTGCAGCACTTAGCAGCTCCATGCCAGCACTTAGCAACTCCATGCCAGCACTTAGCAGCTCCATACCAGCTCTTACCAACTCTATTCCAGCACTTACTGGTGCAGCAGAGAAGACAAGGGAGGGGCACAATGTAGCTGTCGATGTGGTGGGGTCAGAACAAGTTGCATCAGAAAGCTATCCCGGTGCCTTGAGAACCGACTCCGGCGCTTCAGGGACTTACGTTGGTGCCTTAGGAACCAGCTCTGATTCTCCCTTTGCTGCTGCGAATCGCGCTGGCAGAACCGGCAATTCTGGTCCTGGTGGTGGTGCCTACTTGCCTGATGTAAGGCTGAGCAGCTTGGCGTGAGCTTCATGCAATGTACATCAGCTTCACATCAAGTAGTTAATGTGTTTATCGCTTTCTTTGCCTGTTTATTGCCTTCGTTTCCGTCTCCACACGACCTCGTAACGAGGTGACTTTTAAGTCGATTCAACTTTCAGCCTCCTGTCAGGTTGTCAATGCCGTTATGGTCCCCATCTTCATCTCCATATTGTCACTGTTTCCTGTCTGCTTCCCAGTTTGGTAGTTCACTTGATGACCTGGAGCTCATCTTGCTGTTTTGTTTTTTTGTCCGTGTTTGATTTCCACAAGTTGTAGCACTTCCAGTATTTCAATCCTCCCATGTCATTCTTCCAATTAACGCCCTGCCATGTGGCTCATCCACTCTCCCAGCCCTCCCATGTGGCTCATCTAACCACCGCCCTCCCATTTTTTTGCTTGCAGGTTAATCAAACCAAGGCACAGAACCTCATCATGCTCTCTGTAAGCGCATGTGCAACACAGCATGCATCCCAAGCGCATGTGCAACACAGCATGCATCCCAAGCGCACGTGCAACACAGCATGCATCCCAAGCGCACGTGCAACACAGCATGCATCCCAAGCGCATGTGCAACACAACATGCATCCCAAGCGCACGTGCAACACAACATGCATCCCAAGCGCACGTGCAACACAGCATGCATCCCAAGCGCATGTGCAACACAGCATGCATCCCAAGCGCACGTGCAACACAGCATGCATCCCAAGCGCATGTGCAACACAACATGCATCCCAAGCGCACGTGCAACACAACATGCATCCCAAGCGCACGTGCAACACAACATGCATCCCAAGCGCACGTGCAACACAGCATGCATCCCAAGCGCATGTGCATTGGAGTGCCAAGCTTTCCTGGGGGAAGGTTTACCTGAAGCTCAGGCGCTGGGCGGATGTTGACAATGCAGATGGCGTTACGAATGCAAAGACAGGCAGGTAGCGGGGAGGTGGCAACTGGGGTAGGTAGGTCAATCTGAAGTTGGTAATTTGAAGTGCCAGGCTTACTGGGGAAGGTTTACCTGAAGCCCAGGAGCGGGGCGGATGTTGACAACACAGACAGCGCTGAGGCGAACAGTGGTCGGCAGTGGGGAGGTGGCAACTGGGGCAGGCTCTCCTGGAAGCGATAGGGGAATAGCAATGAGGAGATTGAACAGGAGAAACGTTAGAGAAGGAGCGGATGGTTAGCAGCGGGAGAGGGTAGGGTTGTGAAGAGTTGGCAGAGGGGGGAAGTAGGGGATGCGTGAGAGCGGTCGAGCCCTGGTGAGTGTGTACCATGCTCCCACGCACCTGCGCTCTGTGTCTGCTCGAGGTGGTAGCAAAGCAGAGGCAGAAAATCTGCCCTGGTGGTGAGTATATACCATGCTCCCACTCACCTGCTCTCTCTGCCTGCTGGTCGTGGTGGTGGCGCAGGTAACGGTCAAGTCCCCCTGATATGACCGTCACCATCACATCGTTGATGGTCTGGTAAGGAGTGGAAGGGGATGTGCAAGGGGAGTTGGAAGGGAGGGGGTGTGGAAGGAAGAGGAGTTAAGGCTTGCAATCACAATGCTATAATGGGGTTGTGTAACAGACTGGGTGATATAACAATGCACAGTGCGTGAGGCATGGCATAAGTATTTCACAACACAGCAAGCAACGCACGCCCAAACGCACAGGCTCAGATGCCCACGCACTCCAAACACAAACCTCCCCACACCATCTATGAATCGGCCTGAGTTGGCTTCTGCAAATCCTCAAAAGAGCACCCAGCCCCACGGGACTCACCGCTCCGAAGGCGCGTCTGACCCTCGAAATGTCAGTCAGGCTAATCGGCCCACTCACTCCAAACACAAACCGCCCCCCCCCTCCATCTCCATTCCCATCCCCTCCCACAGCATCCCCTCCCCCAGTCTGCACCTCCCCTCTCCCCTCCTCCGGGTGCTGCAGCACCGCACTGCTCCCTTTTCCCCCTTTCTTCTGCGCGCCACCACTCCGCGGCTTCATCTTGACACACGTGGCAGTATCAGCGCGCCACAGCAGCACAGCCATGAACGTTGACACGTGCCACAGCGTGTTCCCCAACACCGCCAGCAGTTGCCACATCCACCTCCCCACACCCACCAACCCTCCCCCTCCCCCTCCCCCTCTCTTCCCTGCAGCCCCTGCCCCTTTCACCAAAGCACCCCCACCACCCGCACCCGCACGCCCACCCGCAACTGCTGTAACCCCGTCTGTGGGTGCTTTTGCTGCTTCTGCTGCTGCCTGCCCGACTGGGTCCGGGGCGAACGGAGATTCAGTCATCGAGTCAAGCGTAAACGCTGACGCTGCAGACGGCATGTGTACTTTCCTGGGCTTTAACTGCTTCAACTTCTCCTCCTCCTCAGGCCCTCCTGCGTCACCAAGCTGCTTCCGCAGCTCCTCACTCTCCTCCACCGCTGCAGCTGCAGCTGCACTGCTGGGCTGGGAGCCAGTCTGGCGCTTGGCGGTGGGGAGGGTGGGGAGGAGGGCGGGGTTGTCGGTGCGGCGAGTGCAGGCGAGCAGCAGAGACATGAGCGACACGCCGTCGCCCATGGAGTGGTGGATGCTGCGTCGGGGGCGACGGGGAAAAGCAGGAAGTGGGATTGGAGAGAGGCGAGCAGAAGAATGGTGGGTGGGAAGAGGGAGCTACAGACATGAGCAGAGCAACACCTGGTCGCCAGAGTGGTGGATGCTGCGAACGGGCAGGAGAAAAAGGGGGGAAACGGGTGGGAGGGAGGGGGGCAAGGGGAAAGGAAAAAGCGGGGGCATGGGTAGGATTGGAGGGAAGAGGTAATGCGAGACATAAGCAACACTCCGCCACCCAGGGCGCATTGGAGGGCTGCGCGTTGGTGGGGTGGGGGGAGAGGAGGGTGGGCGGGAGGAGGTAAGTGGGCACGGGAATTGGTAGGGTGGGCAAGGCGAGGGAGCTAGAGACGTTTGAGACACTCCGTTACCCAGAGAGTGGTGGATGCCACTCACGGCGGGAAGGCGTTGTTTGTTTGAGGGAGAGAAGGGGAGTTAGAGACATGAGCGCCACTCCACTCCGTCGTCCAGGGCGCAGTGGATGCTGCGCTTGGGCAGGAGAAGTGGGGTGAGGTCCGTGAGGAGATGGACGGTTAGAAGGGGTGAGAAGAGGGAGTGTGCGCACATTCTGCCAGGAAGATGGGAAACGTGTCTGCAGTACAAACGCCTTTTGCGAGTGCGTACAGTGCAGTTTTCATAACTCGACTAAAAAGTGACCAAACGTGTCTGTTATTTATATCCATGTCTTCTGCGAGCTCGTACTAGGATTGTACCGGAAGAGAGCGGCCGAGCAGTCGTGAGGCAGAGGCACAAGGTGCACGCGCCAGAGAGGGCGGGAGGCGTCGAAGGGCGGCTGGTGCTGCAAGCGCCGCATGTGCCACTCCATGCTCCCCACCTCGTAGCATGCCGACTCCCACCTCACGCTTACACAATCGTCAAAAATCGACTATCATACACAAGCCATCTGTGAGTGAGCTAACAGATGGCTTCGTACCGGAAGAGGGCAGCGGAGCGGCCATTGGGCAGAGGCACAAGGTGCACGCGCCAGAGGGGGCGGGAGGCGTCGAAGGGCGGCTGGTGCTGCAGGCGCCGCATGTGCCAATCCATGCTCCCCGCCCCGTAGCACGCCGAATCGCACTTCGCGCTTCTTGTTTCTTCCGCCGCCGGCCTTGCACCTCCTTCCGCCGATTCTGCCTCTCTTGCAGCTCCTTCCGCGCGCACTGCTCCCGTGCTACTGTCCTCGTTATTGTCACATCCGTCAAGCGGGGTGCCTTCCACGACGTGGTAGGCCATGTCGACGTTCGTCCGCACCCACACCTGCTCGCCGCCCTTACAATGGCCACGGTGCTCCTGCGACACGAGGATCACGTTACGAAAACACAGTAGCGCGCGGAGAAATGACTTGGTGAAAAGTGATGAAATGGATGGCGGAAAATGGCATCGCGCGTTTCCCGTTTGGAACGGGACGCGTGACTCGACGGGTCGAGCTCTATCTGTGTAGCGGTCTGAAATGGGACGAGCTGATGGGATTGGCCGAGTAGAGTGGAACTTTCTGTCTCCAAAAGTGGGATGCATAGGTCCCCAATCAAGGCGTGGGAATGGAACGAGCGAATTGGAACATAACGGGACTGTAGAGATTGGGAGCGCGTCGTTTCGGGACGGAAAACCACTACAGCTCTTTTCCACCCCGCTCCAGGGTTGTAATTCTTCGTTCATCTACCAAGATCCCAGTTTTAAACAGAACTCTTTACCATGCGACTGTGAAAGCGAGGATGCTTCAAAAGGGTATCCGAGAGAATCGTCCTAAGCTCGTCGATCTCCATGCGGTCTTTAAACTCCAGCGCGCACAGGACGGTCGTGTAGAACTCGTCAGAAAGGAAAAAACGAGCCGTTGGTGACAGCGGCTCGGCATCGTGGCTCTGCTCTTTCAGTTGCAATGTCGCGTCTGCGACGTCGCTCTCAAGCTTGACCTTCACCGGCGGAAGCTTCGGGTTATGCATTTGCACAATGCAGGGAAAAATGAAGGAACTTGGTCGAGAGAGGTCAAATTGTCAAAACTTCTTGCACACTGTTAGTAGCTACTATGACCGACGTCCACAATGTGAACTGTTGAGCTGAGAGCTAAGAGGATGACAGGGAGTCTGAGCCCTGTTGCCACGTGATCGATGCTCCTTGTGTAAGGGGAGTCAGGATGTGGCTCTGGGTGACTGGATTACCGCCAAATTGTGCCATGCAGTTCTTATCCTCGATGACTGGCGAGGTGATACCAAATGCGGCGAGCCTGAACGACAAGTCTGTGAAATGTGTGGCTGCTGTTGAGATAGGAAACAGATGTTGGGGAAAATGAGTGCGAAGACGGCAGTAGAGAGTGATGGTAATGAAAGCCTGGACAGAGCTCATTCCGAATCTGTCCTTCACTTGGCTCGACGTCAATCGACGGCGCAGAGAGATTGTACACTTCTAGGTTTGAACAAGGAACGGTTTCGATAGCCTTGAATCCGCGGGAGCGTGGATGCAGCTTCCACAATATGGTCTGTAGGTCCGAAAGATGACCAGTGAGAGAGGCTCGGCCAGGGCCAAAAGATTTGAGGTCTGACACAACCTGGAGATTGTGCGACAAAAGCGCTTCGCGGAACGTTGGGAAACATCTGGCCAGTGTACATTACATCGTGGCCAAGGAATATGTGGATAAGAAATACTGAAACAAAACCTCCCCTCACCCCTCTCTACTTGTCTTTTGTAATTATTATGTATATAGAATGCCAATTGAGAAAGGACAAACAATGTGGAAACGAACGGTGTGCACGAAAATATACACTACCTATAATCAGTTGAATAGCCTCAAAATTCAGTCTAGCAAGTCTCGAGATAAATGACATCCATGCAAGCATCACACACACACGAATCTTCAACAGAACATGTTGTATGCTCGATCGCAATACAGGTCTCATTTGATTTATGACATATATACATGTCTCCTCGTGACTAACCATATATTTCATGCATTCGAATGAAGTCAAGTCATGCTGTGTGTGCATATCTGCACTAGGGCCTTGGTGTTGGCAGATGACCGGCGCATCAGATTCCAGGTGCTGACTGCCTTATCCATTCCCTCTGCTGCCACCAACCGGACTGCATCAACTGCCCTCTCTATAGCCACATCCACCTGTGTCACGTGTCATAGACCACAAATGGGTTTGCACGCAAAGAAACTATCTTACTGTAAATCATGAGATGTTCAAGTGAGATTCAGCTTCACTTATTCGTTTGTAGAACTACTGCATTTTAAAGGGCAACACCTGAATTACTCAACGGAAGTCAACGCGGGAAAACAAGTTTGGGAAAGCAGAGATTTGAGGTTCGAAAACCTCCCCTAAACCTTTCTTTCCCGAAACCAGTAGGAGTGAGACACAAAGTGGCTACAATTTGTGAAGGCCTCTTTGTAATTCGGGGGCTGTGCATTAATCACCTTGGGATGAGTCATATCACAACTTCCACTTTTGAGGAGTCTCAGAACAGAGTAAGAACCTGTCAAAATGTTATAATGCTTATATTATGTAGGATGTAGTGGGGTAGCTCATAAAGGGTACAACCCAATTAGGGTTAGTACTTGTACCCAACTCTTTGCTAATTCATCCACTCTCGTTCGTTACTTTGACATGGAATCAGAGCAGGTTACTTGGGCCCACCACCTGCTACGCTGCGAGTACTCCCCCTAGGCCCATCGCCCGGCCCGTACCTAGCCCGCGCCCGGCCCCGTCTCATGCCCGCGCCCGGCCCATACCTAGCCCGTCGCCCAGCCCGTACCTAGCCCGTCGCCCGGCCCGTACCTAGCCACCGATCGGCCTGTTCCTAGCCCCGCGCTCGGCCCTTCTCTCGCCCGCGCCTGGCCCGTTCCTAGCCCTGCGCCCGGCCCGTCTATCGCCCGCGCCCGGCCCGTACCTTGCCCGCGACCGGCCTGTACCTAGCCCGTCGCTCGGCCCGTACCTAGCCCGCGCCCGGCCCGTACCTAGCCTGCGCCCGGCCCGTCTCACGCCCGCGCCTGGCCTGTTCCTAGCCCCGCGCCCGGCCCGTTCCTAGCCCCGCGCCCGGCCCGTACCTAGCTCGTGCCCGGCCCGTACCTAGCCAGCGACCGGCCCGTACCTAGCCTGCGCCCGGCCCCGTCCCATGCCCGCGCCCGGCCTGTACCTAGCCCGCGCCCGGCCCTGTACCTTGCCCAGAACCCGGCCCCGACCCTAGACTGCGCCCGGCCCGGTCCCTAGCCCCGCTCGGCCCCGTTCCTAGCCCTGCGCCCGGCCCTGACCCTAGCCTGTGCCTGGCCCCGTACCTAGCCCCGCCCTGCCCCGCACCTAGCCCACTGCTACAGCTACTGCTACAGCCATGTAGTGTCACTGACGCTACTGCTACAGCTGCTACTGCTGCTGCTACTGCTGTCCTCCGTGCTGCACATCTATGACTTCGCTTCGGGTTCTCGCGTTTGATCATGAGGGTAGACCGGTTCAGTTTGACACGTGGCTAGATGACCTGCAGCTGTACCTACTGAGCGATTCTAAGGACAGTGTCTCGCTGTTTGACCTAGCGTCAGGCGCTGCTACTGCCCCTCCCGCCACAGCTGACAGCTCGACTCGCTCACAGTGGCTTACACGTGATGCTGCTGCCCACTTAGCCATCCCCAACCACCTGCCATTAGCTGAATGCGCTCACTTTGGACAGCACAGGACAGCGCAGGCACTGTACGACGCTGTATTCGCTCGCTACTCCTCCCCTGCCACTGCTGCTCTCGTCCGCCTCCTGCCCTACCTGTTCCCTGACCTGTCCGCCTTTACCACAGTCGAGGACCTGGTTTCCCACCTTCGCGCTACTGACGCTCGCTACCGCGCTGCCGTTCCTGCTGAGTTCCTTGACAGGAACCCGCCCCCGATGTACATCACTCTCTACTTTATAGTCACACGCCTCCCTGAATCTCTTCGCTCTGTCAGGGATCACTTCCTCTCTATTGACCCCACCTCCCTCACTGTTGACCTCCTCGA